AGGGAGAGGGAGAGGGGAGAGAAGAAAAAAGAGAGAGAGGTGTTTGGGGAGAGAGAGAGAAGAGAGAGAGAGAGAGAGAGTGAGGAGAGAGAGAGAGAGAGGAGAGAGAGGGGGCAGAGAGGGAGAAAACCAGGGGGAAAAATAAACAGGAGAGAGAACCATTGAGAGAAGGTGTGGGGTTGAAGCGGAAGAGGGGAGAAGGAGATAGACAGACAGTCGAGCACACACCATCGGACAGACTGACAGACACACAGACGGACCAGGAGTGCCTTGATCTCCGAGTCCCGGCGGTGTTATCGGGTCACGAGGGGCTTGGGGAATCTGCCTGCTCTTCCTCTCTCTCATTCTCGTCTCTTATCTATTCCCTTCCACCTCTCAATCTCTCCTCGTTTCCTCTCTTTCCCCTCTCCTTCTTCGTCTCTCTCTCTCTTTCTCTCTCCTTCTCTCTTCTCTTCTCTCTCTCCTGTCTCTCTCTCTCTCATTCATCTCTCTATCTATCTCTCGTCTCTCCTATCATCTCTCTTTTCCTCTCTCTCTCGTATCTCTCTCTCTCTTTCCATTCTTTTCTTTCTTTGTTCTTTTCCTCATCCCCCTCTCCCCTCGTCTCCCTTGTTTCTTTCTCTTCATCTCCTCACCCCCCTCTCACTCTCTCCCTCCTCTCTTTCTCTACTCCCTCCTCTCTCTCCTCTCTCTCTCCCCCCTCCTCTGCTCTCCTTCCTCCTCCCCTCCCCTCTCTCTCCTCTCCTCCTTTCTCTTTCTCTCCTCCCCCTCTCTCTCACTCTCCGTCCCCTCTCTCCATCACCCTCTCCTCCTCTCCTCCCTCCTTCCTTCCCCCCCTCTCACGTCCTCTTTCTTCTCTCCTCCCCACCTCTCCCCTCACACCCCCATCCTCACTCCCCCTCTCCTCTCTCCTCCTCCTCTTCCTCCCTCTCCCCCCCCCTCCCCCAACTCCCCCCTCTCCTCTCCCCCCTCTCCATCCTCCCCTCCTCTCCTCCTCTCTCTCCCCTCCCCCTCCTCCCTCTCTTCCCCCCTCTCGTCCCCCCCTCCCCTCTCTCCCCCTGTCCTCCCTCACCCCCTCCCCCTCCCCTCCTCTCCTCTCCTCCCTCTCGCCTCCCTCGCCTCTCCTCTCTCCTCTCCTCATCCTCGTCGTCTCCTCTCTTCCGTTTCACGCCTCTCTCCTCTCCCCTCTCTCTCTCCCTTCCCTCTCTCCACCAACTCTTCTCTTCTCACCCCCCGCTCTCCCTTCTCTCCTCTCTCTCTCTCCTCCCCGGGCTCTCTCCCTCCTCTCTCTCCCTCGTTCTGCTCTCACCTCCTCTCTCTTTCTCTCCTCTCTCTCCTCGGCGCTCTCTTCCCTCCTCCCCTCTCCTCTACCCCTCCCCCACTCTCCCACCACTCACCACTCCTCCTCCCCACTCTCCCTCTCACTCTCTCCTCACTCACCTAACCAAAATTCTCCTCCCTCCCCTCTCTCTCTCTCCCTTCCTCCCTCCCTCTCCCCCCCCACCTCGCTCCTCCATCCTCATCGCTTTCATAACCTTCCATTCCCCCCCTACCCCCCCCAGGACGAGTGGCAGTCTGATTGAATGCAAATGAGCCGGGGAGGGGGGGGGGTGAGTGGCAAGAAGGGCAAGGAGGAAGGAAGTGAAGGGGAAGAGGAGGGAGTGAGGAGGACGAAGGGGAGGAGAGGGGGCGGGGGCGGAGAGGGGGTGGGAGGGGAGGGGGAAGGGAGGGGAGGGGGGCATCCGGCCTTGCATGAGGATTTGGGGAGAATCGCGGTTCGCCGCCGCGGGGCAGATTATCGATTTTTTTTTTACATCACCTTATTTGATAACGTTAGCTTTGTATAAATATCTTTGTTTGAAGGGAAGGCAGACCCGCACACACACGCACACACAGTGGGAGTGGGCGGGAAAGAACGACAGACAGACAGACAGGCTTAGAGAGAGAGCGCCAGACAGACAGGCAGAGGGCCCGTCGCGAGCGCCCGCGTCGTCCTTCGGCCGCACAGCCGTGGGGCGCGACGTGTCTGCAGGAGAGGACCGCTCGTCGCCCTGCGTCTCCTCCTCCTCCTCTTTTTTTCTCCTGGTCTCTTTCTCTCGCCTCTTTCTTTTATATTCTTCCTGGTTCCTGTTTATTCATTCACTCCTCAGCTTTGCTGAAGGCTCTAGTCATTACATATTGATTATTTTAATGATGATTAATTCCCTTATTTTTTATGCAGAAATACCTATTACTATTTACGTTTTCATCGAGCCACTTGTGTTGCATCCACGTCCTTACTGGCCTTTTGAGGAGGAGGAGGAGGAGGAGGAGGAGGAGGAGGAGGAGAGGGAAGAGGAAGGAGGAGGAGAGGGAAGAGGAAGGAGGAGGAGGAGGGGGAGGAGGAGAGGGAAGAGGAAGGAGGAGGAGGAGAAGGAGAGGGAAGAGGAAGGAGGAGGATGGGGGGGGAGGAGGAGAGGGAAGAGGAAGGAGGAGGAGGAGGGGAGGAGGGAGAAGGAGA